TTGCCAAGTACCTTTGAATACAGGTTTCTGAGAACTTCAGAGGTCATACCATTAGACTAGGTAAAAACTTTCAGAAGTCTAATAGAAAAACTAATGAGTTCATGAAGATTGCTAACCCAACATCAAGCAGAACAAAAGTTAGTCATATAAGACTGAACTGGTAGAGAACTGGAATGATTTTTCTATGATTTTTTAAAATTTGAAATATAGCTGACGGTTTTTGTTTTCTAGAGTCAAGAAAACTTTTTTTCTTTTGAATTATTTATAGCTTACGGTAATTGGTAAAGTATAGTTTTGTGAGCAAAGTGGAAACATTTACCATTTTCTCTACCTGATGTCACTAGAATTTAGAAACTATTTGTGGGTGGTCTTATTTTATGGCAACATAGTTATTTGCATATGTTCAATAAGAATCTGTTTTCTTCCAAAAGAATACACAATTGTAGACAATATTTTACCAAGGCTGTGGATGGAATGACATATTTTCAGATATTACCACACTACTTTGAGGAATTGAGGTTGACTTTCTAGAGCTGATTTTAAAAAAGCCCCCAGTAAATACTGGCCTGGTGGCTTGTCTATATGGTTTTCTTACAAGGTTCCTGACCTTGCGGCAAGTAGAATGTCACTTTTTGGCAGGTTCAGGAACCTCAGGATATTTTGGAATCCTTGAGAAAAGGGGAATGTACCCAATTAATACAGGTATTAGACACAGTCTCATAGCAAATCCGTGGTTTGGCTTCCTAGCCCTGGGAGGTTTTTAAAAATCTAATGTGAGATTCCTTATGTAAAAGTTCCAGCAAAGCCAACTTTAAAAAAGGCTGTATAACAAATCAGTGTTCTTACTGCACTTTGTGCACATAATTAGGCCAATTATAATAAGAGTAAATCTTACTTTGCAAATAAATTGGTCTCACTATGACTCATCTTTGGTAGACCTGGGGGACTAGAGAGAGAAACATATGTTTCAGAAGAAAACTATAGTATACCTGTTATTGGATTTTAGCCTTGTCCATTGTTCTCAAGTTTTTATTATTTGCCTACAATTTGGACTGTGTTCTGAATTATTTTCTGGCTACAAGTCTTTAAGGTTTTCACATTTTTGTGTCATTTTTCTAACTTGAAATCATTAGAAATTAAAAATGTGCTGTTTAAAAAAAGCTCTGCAAACTAAAACTAGTAACATGATATAAACTTTGAGAAAAATCGCTACAGCAACTTATATACAAACAGTCTTCATGCCTTTTGATGTCTGGACTCTTCCAAACGTTCATTTGAATAACTGATTCAAACTACAAGCCAGAAAAAACCTGTCAGATTGCCATCTAAAGATCCTTCAGATATGCTAGAAAAGTTAGTTTATAGACTACTCCAGACATTAATCTTTGTTTTTCTTATGTTTCTACAGAAATGCCTCTTACTAAATATCTGTTTGTCTGCACCATAAATGGAGGTCAAGCCCATCTGTCATGCCGCCTCCTGGAGTGGGACCCTACTGTTTACCTCAGCTGAACTTTTCTCAGGACTAAGAGGCTGATTCGAGAAGATATGGGATAACATATCTAAATTTGTTCTTTTCTGCTTATCCCAACTTGTTTTTCTCCTCCTTTGCCTGCCTCCTAAACAGCAACCTTTAACTCACATCTTTCCAAAGTTATCAACCTTGCCTTTAATAAGTGAAACTTTCTTAAAGAAAAATTTCCAAAAGAGAACAGAAGGAAACTAAAATATTTCCCCTCCAAATTTATTTTCTTGACATATTTCAAGAGGACTATTCAGAAAAGCTAGAAATTCAAGAATAGCTGAAAAGCTGCCTTTGGTGGGGGGAGATTCGCATCAGTAGAGAAAATCTTCATTGATGCAGCCAGGCTTTCTCTGAGACCTTCCTTTGTCTGGATGTGGGAAAGATTAAAAGTCTGAAAGAAACATTTGCTCTGTGCTCTCAGTGAGGGCTGAGCCCTGCAAGGTTTCATCTGCATAGAAAAACCACCTTTGCAAGCCTGGGCTCCTCTTCTCCCCCTCCCATAATCTGTCTTGCCACCGTAACCTATTTTGCCGTAATATAAGCCCCGATTCTTTCTTTAACCTCAAGATGGAATATATAAGATTCTCTACCCCACTGGGGGTTGAGGTAATCGCTCTGTGGTTCTCTGCGCACATTAATAAATTTGTACGCCATTTCTCCTTTTTATCCATCTTTGCTCAGTAGATTTTCAGTGAACTTTCAGAGAGCAAAGGGGGAGTCTTCCCTTGGCACCGACAAGGTTATGTAATGAAAAATATCTAGCCAGGCACGGTGGCTTATGCCAGCACTTTGGGAGACAGAGGCAGGTGGGTCACCAGAGGTCAGGAGTTTGAGACCAGCCTTGCTAACATGGTGAAACCCTGTCTCTACTAAAAAATGCCTGTAATCCCAGCTACTCAGGAGGCTGAGGCAGGAGAATCGCTTGAACCTGGGCAGTAGAGGTTACAGTGAGCCAAGATCGTGCCTTTGCACTCCAGCCAGGGCAACACGAGAGACACTCCATCTCAAAAAAGAAAAATTTCTATTCATCTCAGAATTTTACAAGTTTAGCTAAAGCCTCAATTTTGAGTCCCATGGTTGGTAAGTATCTCCATATTTTAAAAAAGAAGTGTTAGTTGTATTTCCACAGGACTTGCTAAAAGGTGGTCTAAGCAATGAAACTGAAGATGAGGGATGAGAGGGAAGAATATTTTGGAAGCAAAACCTTAATACTTGATGGACAATGAGGTGACAGGAATGAGAAAGCAGAAATACTGGATAATTAGAGTAAAAAAATATAATGTACTGAGATAATGAATTAATTTGCATATGTTTATTGAATTCCCATATAATATCATGTAACTTGTTAGGTTTCATGTGAGATAATGGCCTCTGTATGCCTGAGATCTAGGATACTGACACCATTTACATCATCACTGTAAGATAAATGAATTAAACATTAACATTTTGATGTATTCACTTATAATAAGCCAAAAGAAAGACATCATGATTTTGATTATTAAAAGCCAGTATATGATGATTTGTATCTTTAATGTATTCCAAATGTCATATATTTTACCGGGAATGTTAAAAATATTTATGAATTATATTTAGTGTTAAAAGATATCACCATCTTTCTCAAGCATGTGGCAAAACCAGTTGGATACTGAGAAACAATGTGGTTAGTTGACTAATATCATGGACTCTGGAGTTTTTTGTCTTGGGTATGAATTTTGCATTCCCATTTATTACTAGAATTTGGGCAAGTGCCTAATCTCTGTGTGGATTAATTTCCTCATCTGTAAAGTGGGGATACCAGTATTTTCCTTTTGTAGTGAGAATTATATTAGTTAATACGAAGCCCTTAATACAATGCCTGACACTTAGCACACTGTACTCAGTTTATGTTATAATTATTATTTTGTATTTCAGGATTATCATAGAATACCATGGGAAAAAAACAAAAAATAGTTCTAATTTTTAGAGTTCAAACATTATTTTGAATAAATCTTCAGGAAATAGATTGTAAGTTGCTTGCGGTGATCCTAAAACTGAGCTTATGAATCAGTCTCCAAAATCTATCACTTATCTTTTTTTGTGAGACTTTTTTTTTTTTTTTTTTTTTTTTGCACTTCTCTCTGTTGCCCAGACTGAAGTGCAGTGGTGCAGTCTTGGCTTACTGCAGCCTCAACCTCCCAGGATCAAGTGATCCTTCCACCTCAGCCTCCCAAGTAACTGGGACTACAGATGTACGCCACCATACCCAGCTAATTTTTTGTTTATTTTTTGTAGAGATGAGGTCTCACTATTCTGCCGAGGTTGGTCTCAAACTCCTGAGCTCCAGCGATATGCCTGCCTCAGGCTCCTGAAGTGCTGGAAGTACAGGCTTGAGCCAGCAACTTACCTTTATTGAACAAATGTATTAGTGTTATACTTTGCAACAGTCATAGTTCATGTTAGTCAATTTCCAGAATGGTGATGCATTTCTGAGTGATATGTTGAACACTTTTAATTTTTATTGACTAATTCCTTTTCCCTCCCATAAGAATGACTGTATTCCCATGTAACTGAAGTGCATTTACAACACCCCTGCCAGGAGTATATAGCTCTTCCATTACGTGAGAAAGAGCTGTGCAGATGTTTCTGTGGCATTTTAATGATATGCTCTGCATTTATCCATGCATTCTGCTAAAAATATTGTTACTGATTTTTCATATCACCTTTTCCCCATTAGATAGCAATGTTCCTCAAGGTAAGTAATCATGTCCATTTTATTTTATTCTTCCGCTTACTCACAGTATAGATATGTGTATACTTCTGGGTGTGCTTTGCATGAAAAAGCAGTGTACGATACCTTGGGGACTGATTTACTGAAATAACTTCTCCAGTATGACTCTTGAAAGAACTAGGTCAATAACCCATAGAATTATATAATTTTTTTTTTTTTTTTAGCTTGAAGAGGCCTTAGAGATCACTTTTTCCAGATCCTTCATTTTACAAATTAGGAAATGAGCCAGGATTACAACTCATCCTCTCAACTGCCAAGTCCTGTGCTCTTCAGCCTCATCAACTGCCTCTTGGATTGAGTTGTTCATTTTCCAGGTGATTTCTGCATATTATTGTGCGTGTGTGTGTGTGTGTGTGTGTGTGTATGTGTCAGGGTGCGTGCGTGCGTGTTTATGTGTATGGTTTTTAGGACTTTATAACCTTGTCCAATTACAGAAACATATTTTATGTAGAAGAAAGAGGAGATGACAAAGTATAAATTAAAGGGAGAATTTTATCTTCCTCTTCTCTTTATTAATGTTATTATCATTAAGAAACAAAATGGTATACAGAAGACTAGAGACCATAAAATTATCATGTGAAACCTGTCTCTTGGAATAATCTCTTTCCAGATTCCACTTAGAGATCATTATCTTGGCTACTGAGACAACGTGTGTGCCTGTAACGTGCATTCAATGTATTTAGGAGAGAGACTTTGCACGTGTCTCTAATGAAAGGGAAAGGGGGCAGGGTGGGGGCCTCTGGGGAGGAGATCCACAGCGAAGGGGAGGGAAATGGGCTTCTAGCAGAGGAGGCAGGTGGAAAGAGGGAGGGGTCTGTGCGCCCGCAGAGTCGCCAGGCGTCCTGCGAGTTGTCTCCGCTGGGAGGGGCGAGGCTGTCACTTGCCAGGGCTCGAGGAGCCCGAGCGCGGCTTGGAGAACTTGGCCTCGCGCAGCGCCTGGTCACTCGCTCTCCTCTGGGGACTGCAGAGAACGGGACCTCGGGCCATGGGTGAGTGCGCGGGCGGACGCGGACACTTCGCCCAAAGGCTCGTCCTCGGGAATGGGCATTATAGAAAGAAAATGAATGTTCCTCGGCCTCAGACTGCGTCCCGCCCAGCTCTGTTCCCCCGGCGTCCCGCGCCCCCCGCCCTCTTGTCTCTGGACTTTTTTTCTGGGAGCGAGGCGATGGCTATGGGTGGCACCTGGAGGTGAGGGAGGGTGCCCGACTGTTTACAGTGAGTCAGGAGGGTGGGAGGCTGCGCCTGGGCGCTGATCCTCTGCGTCGGCCCCACGACCCAAGCCTGGGGGTCCGGTCTACTGTGCTTGGGGCGGTATCTGGGAAATAAAGAAAGACTAAGAGACCCAGGATCCGAATAGAGAGCAGATTACAGGGAGATCTCTGTCCTCCGGAGTTCCCACGTTTTCATGTTCTCTTTGGGGAGCAAGTTGAAACGGGGCACGAGAAATGGAAACTTCCTAAAACTTCCACTGGGTACAGGTTTGAGCAAAGGAAGGTGCTGGGGCAGGGCCAGACTGGGGACAATTTCTAGTCCCTCTCCAAACGTTGTGCCCATGTGCACAATAGGTTTGAGGTTGAGGCCGAAGGCTGATTCTTCCTAAATTCGACCTGGGTAAACAGCGTGGTGAAAAGGGCGTCCACACTGGCTGGGGTCACTGGATAGTGGAGTTCGGCGCAGCTCAGCTTCGCTCAAGTTTCCAGGCAGGGTTCGCTTATTCGGTGTTTAGCGGAGGCAGCTTGGAATAGCTCCAGGAATGTGATTGTGTGTGGCGGAGGGGAGGAAGAACTGGGTGTGAAATAGCCGATTCAAACCCACCACTAAGACGCAGGGTCCCACGAGTCACCTCGAAGAGCGAGGGAGAGGCTGGGGAGGAGAAAGCACTCGCCATCCCCGGACTGCAGCATCCACAGGTGCAGGGGCGATGCTGCTCTTCCGCGGTTACCGGCTACGTTCAGCCCGCAGCCCGAGTTACTCTTCCAACCCCAGCGCGCTCACTTCTTCCAGCCAAGTCCACTGGGCGCCCCTCCCCCTGGCTTCTCCCTTGTCCTTTGTTGTGAGGGATTTCTTCAAGAGTAAAAGAGGCCTTGGGGACTTACGTGCTCGGGTTGAAATTCCTAAATTCCCACAGGCTCAAGGGTTAGGGGATGCTTTGACTACTAATCATGGAGTTTATAGACAGTAGCCAACTTGGAAGAAAGGAAAAAAGAGAAAGCTGAGGACATTTTTGCCTATGAATGTTAGCTGTGATCAAGACATTCATAGTCTCTTCTTGCTTGACCCTTGGAAGAGTCTTAGAAGGACCCATTTTTAGGGCCTTTGTATAAACAGCGTTGGAAATGGTCTTAAGAAGGACTGTCTTTAAATGTTTTCTGAAAAGGAAGGAGTATTTTCAGGTTAAAAAAGAAAGATAAAACATTTTCCCAAGTGTGGCAGAGAGTATTTCGGACTATTTTTTTTTATTTGGTTGTTAAGTGTTGTGTTCCATTGGAAAGACAGGAATATTTTTAATTTTTCTCCTAAACACAACACTTACTGTTCTACTTGAGCCTATAAACTCTTGTTTATATGCTCACACAGGAGAAAAGCTGTCATAAATGGAAAGTCAAAACAATTGACTTGAGGTACTCTATTCATTAGCTCTATTAAAAGCATTATGATGCCATTTGGATCCAACATAATAAAATGTCCAGAAAGAATTACATAATTTACCTTGTAACCTCAAGTTCGAGAGGACTGGCTATCAAAGGTAAGGTATTCATAATTTCAAAGTTAATTATTTCTTTAATTTCCATTTCCATACTATAGTGAAAACAATTTGTCCTGGATTTTTGCTTCAATGCTCATGGATAATTATCAATCATCCCTCATTATAGGAAAGTGCTGTTGTGTGGGATGGTGTGGAGTTAACAACTGAGTTGTCAGGATCCAAAGCTTGGTCTGTAACTTTTAGAAGTTCTCTTTGCTATCTGTAATCTGAGAGATACCTAAAATTTGTCTGCTCCTTCTTCTGCCAGAAGTGGATTACATTTTTCCTATTGTAACTGAGGTCACCAGAAACTCATGAAGTCAGGGGCCTCGTAGGAGAGATTAAAAATATTCCTGAACTCTCTTTAGGTGGAGGTAGAGGAATAAAGTGAGGAAGCCAGAGGTGAGGGAAATAGAGAAAAGAACAGGCCTGTAGCAAGGGAGAGTGAGGGCATGAAGCCAGAACTCAGGACAGAGATTCAAGTATGCAGTCCAGAGAGTAGCAAGAGCCAATAAGCAGCAAGGGGCAAAGCAGGGAAAGCAGGAAGGAAGTGCATAGGGGAAATAGAAAACATTTGGCCACTTAAGGCCATATCTCTCCTCTTCCTTTTAATTTACTTATGAAAAACAAAACTTTACTACTTAGAATCTCTTCTATTTAGTGGTAGTAGGGATGGTAGGGAGTTTAGCATTAAAGTCCAAATGGCTATGATAGGAGGGAAAAACAGTGTAGGAGAATGCTAGATTGCGCCAACAAATGAAATCCAGTTTTTTTTTTGTTTGTTTGTTTTTTGTTTTGTTTTGCTTTTCCTGGTATAATGACAACCAAAATTTATCACTTAAAGAAAGGAAGATAGTGTTATGGGGATGAATGTAGCAATCAATTCTCATTTGTCTCAGAAGAAGAAATCTGAACTCTAGCACTGTGGAAGAATGAGAGTAATTGGTTAATCAAATATTCTGAATAATTTATAGTCCTTCATATCCATAATGCACAAGGCTGATTGTAAAAAAAAGTTATTTGCAAAGTAGGCAATTGCAATTTTGGCATCTCTTCCTTTTGTTGTTTGATTTCCTCATTGATGCCCTCGGCTTCTTTAGGTATGCAGCAGGGCTTTCCCTCCACTCCAAAGTTTTACTCTGCAGAAAGGATGCAACAACATAGTTCATACTAAAAAAAACCTGCAGGGCTAACCCATTGCTCAGAGTACTTACATTTCAACTTCAAGTTGAATTTTAACCTGCAGATCTCTACTTGTGGAATTTCAGGCCCCATTGGAAAGATAGGTCAGGAATATTTTTAATTTTTCTCCTGAACACAACACTTACTGTTCTACTTGACCACATATATATCACTATGAGACCATTAATGACTGTTTTGTTTAAAAAATGATGTTGAATATGATTTAATTTGACAGATACTATGAAAAGTTTAATGGGAGTGGTACTGAACCTGTCTTGGAGGAATGTGAAACATTTGGAAGGGAAGTGGTTTTAGGTAGAATAAGGAGCTCCTTCTCAAGGCAGTAAGGAGGTGAGTTTGGGGAGCAGTAGGACATGGAGCTGGATTGACAGGATGGGATTTGATTTTGGAGAGCCTTTAAAAGCAATGAGAGGAATTTAGAATTTACATGATAGGAAGTAGGGTGCCTTGGAAAGTTTTTGAGCAGGGAAGACATAATGAGATTAGTGAAAATGTTTTTTAAAACAGAATTAGTTGGAGAGAACAGACCCAGTTGTTACAGTAATCCTGAGGTAATATGATATATGTCTAAACCAGTTTTGGGAATAATATTATATTATATATATGATATGATAATAATAGAATATGATATATGTCTAAACCAGTGGAACTGGAGAGCAAAAGATGAATGAGAGATAAGTCAAGTGAAAAATCTATAAAATTAGGCAATGGAGCAATAAGACAATGAATATAATATTTTGTCTAGAAATTTGAAATCTTGAAGACCTGGGAAGTAGTGGGTTCCTTGATAGAATATTTAAAGGATAAACCAGGTGGTTTACTTTCTGCATGTTTTGGATGAAAAATTAATTTCATATTTGAAATGTTATTAAGAAGTGATAGCAAGGCTGGGTGCGGTGGCTCATGCCTGTAATCTCAACACTTTGGGAGGCAGAACGAGGTGGGTGGATCAGTTGAAGCCAGGTGTTTGAGACCAACCTGAGTAATATAGTGAGACTGTCTCTACCAAAAATACAAACATTAGCCAGGTGTGGTGGCACACGCCTGTAATCCCAGCTACTCGGGAAGCTGAAGCTCGAGAATTACTTGAACCCATGAGGCAGAGGTTGCAGCGAGCTGAGATCATGCCATTACACTCCAGCCTGGACAATAGAGAGAGACTCAGTCTCAAACAAAAAGAAAACAAGCAAGCAAAAAAAGAAGTAATAGCAAGACATCTAAACACAAATATTTAGTATGTGAGGAACACCTGAGAATTTAATCAGAACACAGAACAAAAAGGAAAACAAAGATGAAAGGGTTACCAACCTTTAGTGAGAGGAAAACTCGTGAAATGAATTATCTATTTGAAAGTGTGAGTATAGGAAGTACTGGTTGAGGGACAGGGAGGGAAAGGATAAATCCTGTTTGACTGAAGAAGGACACCTACTACATGATATGTACTAAATGCCCTAACATGAGAACAGCGAAATGTGACAACTTAAACATTCCGTGTTAGATTTGAGAGTCTACACATTTTGACAGGAGAAAAAATATCAAATGGAAATATTTTGCTCTTACTCAACTTGAGTAACAATGGAGTTGGTTAAGTATCTGTAAAATTGTTTGCAAATTTGGACAAAGAATAACGACACACAGTATTGTCTTGAGCTCGTAACTTTTTTTTCAGGGAAACTATGACACCCTCGAGACAGTTGTGAACAAAGGTACAAGAGCCAAGGTTTGAAATAGGAGAAGCAGATGACAATCTCTTATGTCTTTGAATGGGTTCTATAAATCTTTGGGATCCTACTTCCTCATTTGTTTGATGAGAGGATTGGGCAAGGTTCTGCAAATTTATGTAGCTCAGCTCTTGATCCAGTAATCATTAGAGAGAGAGAGAAAAAAAAAACATGTAAAGAAGGTAAGATTAAGCTATTTCCATTAAGCAAATCAAGAACACTTTTATGATGCTAGAGAACTGGATAATACTTTTGATCATTTGACTTCCAGTGTGTTATTTTCCTTACGAAATCACAAGGTCTGATAAGAGTCCCAAAC